AACATGATATGTAATTGGGCCTTAACTATTAATAATTACCTCAATGACACAGTAAAAAAAATGAACATTTATTCAATAAACTAACTGAACTTCATTTTGTTTGTTCCATAGCATTAATTGTGATGCTTCAGTTTAAATTCCAATTATTAAATGGGTACATGTAGGATAATTTTGTATGAAAGGAGAATTAAAATATTCAAGGACTCCTGCCAAGGACTCACCTCGCATGAATTTTAAATAAGCAATCAAGCAGTGATCAAGCAGTACTTAACATAGAAGAAAGCATTTGTGTTGCATGAATCACATGAAAAAATCTAACAAAAAATTTGAAATTCCTTTTTACTCTAATTATTTGTTAAATGAATTGTTTCGTCTAATTTTATGAACATGATCATAATTTAGCTGTTTGAAGTTTTTTAAAAGAAATCCAATTAAAATAAAAAGTATTCAGTATTCATTAAAATATATTATAAATCTACAGATTATTTCCCAAACCAGATCTATAGTATATTCCTACTATCATGATTAATATATGTTCACATATTGCTGAATAGTTCCTGCCAGTCAAAGTTTATCATTAGGATCCAATTTTTTTTTTGCTGAAAAGAACCACCCCCACTCCCCAATTTTCCTGACAATATTTACAGAAGTTTTACTTGTTCAGGAAAACAGTGACTTTTTAAAAGGATATTTTTGTGCAGAATATTGATAATATTTCACTCAATCAATAAATCAAAGCTTTATATTAATTCTTAGCTGAATTAATGTACTGAACATTGAAAAGAAAAAGCTTCAAAAAATAGCTGAAAATTGTAAATTTAGAAAGGTTGATTTTTCCATTACCAAGAGAGCTGTCAAGGCATTCAGTAAAACCCAAATATTTCTTATCTAAAAGGTTTATTACAAGAATAGCATAAAAAGATTTAAGATAAATCTGACATTATTATTACAACTAAGGTAGGTTCATAGAGTATAGTTTTAGTCCATAAAGTAAATTACTAATCTCAGTGATTGTTGCCCGCCCCTAAGCAGTCTCTTTCATAACTTATCCCTGATACATATACATACAGACACAAACACATACACCATACTATATTCAGAAAGCATTATTTCAAGTAGCTACTAGAAGTCCTCACCTGTTTCACTATCTGGGTTTGTATTCTAATAATAATTACATGTTATTATTTGGAAGAATACATTTATACAAATCACTGTGAAGAAATGTAATCTTATGGGAAGCAGAGAAGGATAAAATATCCATTTACCACAACCAAAAGCCTATGTAAAAGCTAAAGAAAAAAAACTTCTCAAAATGAGGACTAATATTACAAATAGTTCTTAGCAACTACAATACGGACTTGCTATCCAGAGTCCTTCTCAAATCTTCATGCCACCAAACTGGCCCCTCATAATTCATCCCAGATCCCCACTTTTTGATTATCCCAAAGTTGCGCCCAAGTGTCTGCCCTCGATGCAGAAGAAAACATGAAGCAATAATTTCAGCCTGGTTGACATTTTAACTTTCTAATATGTCTGAGCTCGCATAACTCTTTGAAAGAATAAAGTTTAAGTGTTTTTTACATGATTTCAGAAACAAAATATGCAAGTAAGATCAAATATTCATGGACTCCTCCCAAAGATGGCTGCTGAACAGTAAGGAGATTTTTCTCTTCAACTGATATTTTGGCAGCCCTGCTCTCTAGAGTTGAATGGGAACACTTAGGAATGACCCAAGATAGTTTTTGGATTACTGTGGACCCACCTTCAAGAAGGTATCTTGAAGATTACAGTTCCTAGTGGGAGCAGTGGAAAACCAGGCCATCCATCTTTTTTCCTTTTGGCAGACCATTCTCTTAGGCATGCCTGGGTGATTAACAAGTGTTTTAAAGCTTATGTTTTGCTTTGCTTCCTATCTCAAAAGTTGACCAGCCTGTTTATTTTACCTTCCTGCTGGATTTTATCTGTCTCTCTTACTCTTCTCCTTTGATTTGGTTTTTTGAATAACCTTTGTTTTCCGTAAGGAAAACATGGCATGCCTTGGAGTAGTGGAAGTGTTTATATTTCATTTACATCTATTTTGGACTTTCACTACACTTCGAAGATTATTTTTTCAAAATTCTTTTTTATCCTGGATTGAAACATCTGAAACATGCCTCTATTCTGAGGAATATCCTCCCAGTCTCAGAGGAACTTTACCTCTCCCTTGCCAAATTATACCAGAGCAACAATGTATCAGATTACAGACAACTAAGTATGGCTGGTAGAAAAAAGACCGTTGAATAATATGCAAACCCAAGTTGAAAACTTTTTTAAACAGTTTGACAACATAATTATGTTTGCAAAAACATCCAAATGCAAGTAATTGGAGTTAAATTAGATTCACAAAAGGAATTTGATTTGAGAGTGGTAGATTTGGTGAAAGAAACTGATATGGATGTTTAAACATAGAACTGCCTGAGGGGATTATGCATGCCTTCCCAAAGTTCAAGCTTGAACTCTTTTACAATAAGAGAAAATTGAATAGACAAGTGAAGAAGTTTGGGGAATGGATTTATCACACTCAACTAGAAAAATAATTTCAGTTCGATTTTCTGGAGAAGATCGATCGATTTTGAAGAATGGGTCTACTATATTTAACTAGACAACAATTGATAAAAGATAGCATTAAGGTACAATCATGGATATTTGATCCAGACAAATCAGAGTTAATTGTTGGGATGATTGGGGATAGAAAATAACCCATGGTAAACTTCTTATGAGTTGAATACAACAATAGTTTGTTAACAATGGGTGATATTTTGTTATTGCCTTTTTTGTTTGTTTGTTGTTCTATCTGTTAACTATTTGGCCATTAATACAGTAGATAGATGACAGGGTAATAATTTTAAACAGAATTAGAGGTTTGAAAAAAAATGGGGCCTGTTTCGCAAGGGGTGGGAAACTAATTGCAGATGACACCAAGCTGGGAGGAATAACCAACACTCCAGAAGAGTTTAGGCTTAAGATACAGAGAGATCTTGACAGACTTGAACATTGGACGCTATCTAACATAATGAAATTTAATGGTGAAAAAAGTAAGGTTCTACATTTAGTCAAGAAAAACAAAATGCCCAGGTACAGTATATGTGATACCTTGCTCAATAATAGTAACTGTGAAAGGGATCTTGGAGTCCTAATGGACAACCATTTAAATATGAGCCAGCAGTGTGCAGCAGCTGCCAAAAAAGCCAACACAGACCTAGGCTGCATAAACATAGGGATAGAATCAAGATCACGTGAAGTATTAATACCACTTTATAATGCCTTGGTAAGGCCACACTTGGAATACTGCATTCAGTTTTGGTCACCACGACGTAAAAAAGATGGGGCAACTCTAGAAAGAGTGCAGGGAAGAGCAACAAAGATGATTAGGGGACTGGAGGCTAAAATATATGAAGAACGGTTGCAGGAACTGGTTATGTCTAGTTTAACAAAAAGAAGGACTAGGGGAGACATGATAGCAGTGTTTCAATATCTCAGGAGAAATACAAATACCATATAACCCAGTTATGGCTAACCTTTTTGCCATCACGTGCCAGGAGGTGGGGGCAGCGGGGGAGGTTTGTGCATGCGCAGGCCCACACCCATAATTCTATGCATCCCGCCCTGCGCATGGCGCATAACCTCCCCTCCCATCCCCTCACTCCTGGCACGTGATGGCCCGGTACGCCCGTTTTTCTTTCTCACTTGGTTCTAGATCCTCTCTATGCATCTGGGGAGGGCGAAAACAGCCTTCCCCACCCACTCTGAGGTCCTCCAGAGGCCTGAAACGGCCCATTTCCCAACTCCCGGTTGGACAGGAAGTGATTTTTTTGCTGTCCAGAGCCTCTCTAGGAGTCTCTGGAAGCTGAGGACAGCAAAAAAGTCACTTCCTGTCCAACCGGGAGTTGGGAAATGGACCATTTCAGGCCTCCAGAAGGCCTCGGGGTGTTGGGGAAGGCTGTTTTCGCCCTCCCCAGATACATAGAGAGGATCTGGAACCAGGTGAGAAAGAAAAATGAGCCTTCTCCCCCCCCAAGGCCCTCCAGAGGCAGGAAACAGCCTATTTTCCTACTTCTGGTGGGCCCAGAATAATAATGATAATGATAATGATAATAATAATTTTATTTCTATACTGCCCTTCTCCTGGAGGACTCAGGGCGGTGTACAGCCTATTAAAAGCACAAAGACAAACATCAATTAAAAATAATTAAAATTATTAAATAGTTTCAGCTCAAATTTAAAACCCCCAAAATTTAAAACACCTAATTTAAAATCATTACATTGATAGTCCGGCCTGGCGGAACAGCAGGGTCTTGAGGGCACAGCGAAATACACGGAGGTCGGAGATCTTATGGATTTCTGGGGGCAGTTCATTCCACAAGGCAGGGGCTCCCACAGAGAAGGCCCTCCCCCTGGGTGTCGCCAGCCGACATAACTTGGCCGATGGCACCCTGAGGAGACCCTCTCTGTGGGAGTGGACTGGTCGGTGGGAGGTTATTGGTGGCAGAAGTCGGTCTCGAAGGTATCCGGATCCTATGCCATGGAGCGCTTTAAAGGTGGTAACCAGCGCCCGAAAAAAAGGCCCGAAAATCAGCTGGCCGGCACACGCATGCATGCCAGAGTTGAGCTGGCGTGCCCATTGATATGGCTATGTGTGCCACCTGTGGCACGTGTGCCATAGGTTCGCCATCACTGATATAGCCTACTCTCAACAAACAAACAAACAAACAACTGTTGAGGGTAAAAACTGCTCTCTGCAAAGTAGTGCAACGGACCAGACAGCGAATAGTTACGATGCTTAGCAAAACACACAGATAGTCACAGACTCTGAACGTTTAAAGAAAAATAAACAGTCTTTACTTGTAGTATAAAAACAAAATTTGGCTTCTCAAAACAACTTCTTCAAACAATCATGGTTTAACACAAAACATAGTTTGCTTACAATTCCAGTTTCCACCATTGGTATTAAATACACCTACCTTAACAACAGGATTCAGAAGAATAACGCCTGATTTCTTTGTAATCACATGTTTTGTTGTATAATGATATTCTATAAGCTGAGGAATCGTTGAAAATCCTGTTCCTTCAAATCTGTATTGATTCTATAGGATAAAATTGAGGAAGAAATACAAAATTAAGCAATGGGAGCTCTTTCCATTAATAAAGTCATGCCTGACTTTACTGTTGTTTTATGCAACAAGTTGTCTTTTAAGAGCTTCTACCAGAGAATGCTGAAATGATTTACTAAAGTGTACTTATTTGAATAATATATAATGTATGGCTTAATTTGTTAAACCATAGTTCAGTAGCTGGAAACATTTGGAAATATCAGTTAGTAATTGCTTCTTTTACTTTCTTCATCCCTCTCTTCATGAAGGTTCAAATGTTTGTTTATTTAACTTACTTTGTTCATTTTTGTTATATCCAACATTGGAATTGTAGCCAATATACATATTTACTAAATAAGATTGCAAACTTAATTAAAAACAAAAAGTTATTTATAGTTTCCTCAAGCAAGATCATCAAATGAGAATATATGCTATATAACCAAATTGAACCTATGTGGAAATAATTAAAAGCACTGCCATGCTATAAAAATGAGCAGGAAATTACAGCTTAATTCAGGGGTGTCAAACTCAGTTCCATTGAGGGCCACATCAGGACTGGGTTTGACCTTGGAGGGCTGGGTGGGGGTGGGCATGGGTGTGTGTGTGTGGCACGGAACCACACCTCCACAGACATGGTTTTATAATAGGGAGGCATACATTTCTCTGATTTTGTTTTTTTAATACTTATTTAATTACTTTAATTTAATACTTAATACTTATACTTAATACTTTAACACTTTAACCTTATGAGACCAGGTCAAGACTTCATAGGAAAACTAGAACAATAAATTATTGACATAGGCTAGTAGCAGAATCCTGCAAGCCTAAAAGGTGAAATATTTTATTTTTCCTCATTATTATTATCATTATTATTATTATTATTATTATTATTATTATTATTATTATTATTATTAATTGAATTTGTATACCGCCCTACTCCCGAAGGACTAAGGGCGGTGAACAGCCAAATAAAATACATATAATACAAATGTTAAAAAAACCATTAAAATACAATTAAATAATTGGCCCAGAAAATGAAATTTAAAACACCCCAAATTCATAAGACAAATTTAAAATTTAAAAATTTTAAAAGTTTTAAAAACAGTTTAAAAGAGAGGTTAGGCCAGGCTGGCCTGCTGGAAAAGAAATGTTTTGATGGCATGGCGGAAAGTGCGCAGGTCTGGGATCCTCCAAATCTCCAGGGGGAGCTTGTTCCAGATGGCGGGTGCCCCCACAGAGAAGGCTTTCCCCCTGGGGGCCGCCAGTCGACATTGTTTGGCCGATGGCACCCTGAGGAGGCCCTCTCTATGGGAGCGTACTGGTCGGTGAGAGGCTACTGGTGGCAGAAGGTGGTCTCGTAAATACCCTGGTCCTAAGCCATAAAGTTTATAAACTTCTGAGTCAAGAATGGCCTCCTACAGTATTCCGGAGGCCCCGTTTTGGGTCTGGAAGGCCTCCTGGACCATTCTGCAGGCCAAAAACTGTTGTGGGCGTGCGCCCCACCCGCACCCCCTTTTTGCAAGCAGAGGCACCGCAGGCTGTTCCTTTGCTATTTCCAGACTGGTCCCGCAGGCCAGATCTAAGCACCCTGTGGGCCGGATCCAGCCCACGGGCCTTAGTTTGACACCCCTGGTTTAATTGAACAGAAGTTTAGGATTTTTTTCAGTAAATTGAGATAAATATTATATCTTATGGACAAAAAAACCACGAACTGTCTTCAAGTACAAGAAGCAATCTTCAGTGTATGCCTTGAAATACTTCCAGATTTAACAAAGAAAATATTTCACAACATTTATAACTTTTTATAACATGAAATAAATATTAGAATGGAGTAGCAACTACTGTTCGATCTATTTTCTAGTAGTTGTTTTTAAAACAAAACAATAGAAATCTCTCCTATTGAAAGTAGTTGAAATATACAGTATCTCTTTTATTTCTAAACTATTCTAACAGGATATAAATGGATATTGTTCGTATAAAGCAAAATAAGAATATACAGTTATCAGAAAAATAGTAAGGTTTTAACAGTCTAATATTCCTCTGAAACACATTGTGATGAATTATAGAAACAAACAAACAAAAAATAACAGGGATTTTCTTCCCACTCAAATCAAAACTTGATTGCCTCTTGTTCTAGAATATTAAGTGATAAAAAATAATGTGGAGCTCAAACAAATATAAACACAAACACACACACAGACGCACATGTGATTTGCTTTTCTGAAATAGTTCTGATCAGCTACAATTCTCTTTAAAATTGCTTTTAATAATGAAGTCTTTTGAGATAATGTTTGAGCACAGGTTTTTTAAAAACTTCATTATCACCTAAAATAAAAGCTGATTATATAATACATTAATCATTACACCATAAAACTTCAGATTGCTAAATATATCTTGTGTGTATCTAGGAGATTTTCAAGACACAGAAGATTAAGAATCTTTATTTAGCTCTATCAGTATCTGCTTCTTGCAAAGCAATAACCCAATCCCATCATTTCATATAATCTCCATCCCTACTTTATTCAGGGAACATTATTTCACATTCTTCATATTTTAATATTCCCTGTTTAGCTTTTGTGTAGTAAATGCTTGAAGTGTTTTACCTCTGTGGATTCTTTTGAATTTAAATGCTTGAGTGATTTAGTTCCACTAAGAAGTTTGTGTGAAAAAAATGAATTAATCATTCCTCAAATTAGAAATATTTATTTCACAATTCAATGAAACGGTTGTGAATTATCTATTGCATGTATACTACAGCTTTATAAAAAATTGGCTGGCCTTATTAGGAAATGCATGTATCTAAAATCAGGATTAGGGTAGAAAAATGGAGCATAGGTATCCTCCTACCACAATTTCATGATTTTAGGAGAATTTGTTTGAATAATTAACTTCCCCCATCCTCCCTTTTACTAGTAGTATACCTCTAAAGAACAGGAACAGCTTGTGTAAAACTCTGGTGTCTGGAAACTGAGTATACCAGTGTTCCTGAGAACATTCTGCTTTATATTTATTTTTTCATTCATTCCATTTATATAATGTGTACTCAACTACAGATTCATTGCAGTTTACAACATCAACAGTAAAACATTTATAATTTATAATCAACAATTTAAAAATCCAGAGTATAAATATAAACTTATAAAAACCCAAACATAAAATATAAAAAAACAAATTCAGCCAATCAGAGTAATACATACATCTACCACTACTACTAAAGATGGTGACAATATAGAAATTCACCAAATGCTGTCCAGAAGAGCTCCATTCTGAGGAACTTTGTAATAGAAGGGGCAAGCCTTAATTCTAAGGGGAGGCTATTCCACAGGAGGCTGCAATACAAAAGTAGTATCTCCTGGCCTCAATTGCCCTCACTTCTTTGGACCTGGAGTATGATCAAGTGTTTCTTCTGGCATACTGCTTTGGACAATTCAAATAAGAAATGGTGCTCCTGGAAATACCAGGCACAAGCCATACAGGCTTTACAGGGGGAAAAAATCAGCACTTTGAACTGCATTCAAAAAACTACTAGCAATGAATGTAGGGACTAAGGCACATGTACACTTGGAGGTAAAACCCAACAATTATTGAGAAGTTGTATTTTGCACCAATTCCAGTTTCTGAATGCTCAAGGACAGCCTCTTGTAGAAGCTGTGCTCCTCCAGTAGTAGTAGTAGTAGTAGTAGTAGTAGTAGTAGTAGTAGTTCTTCTTTCTTCCTCGTCTTCCTCTTCCTCTTCTCCTCTTCCTTTTCCTCCTCCTCCTTCTCCTCCTCCTCCTCTTCTTCTTCCTCTTCTTCTCCCACAGGTACAGGGTCTGCTTTTCAGATCACTGAACATCACTGTACACGATCAGCTATGTCTCCAGGGCGCAGGCCCGTGGCTTGTATATCTTTGTTGATGGTGTCTTGCCATCTGTTTTGGATGCCTGCGGGGTCACCAGCCATTAACTTCTAATTGGTAGACAGTCTTGGCAACAGTGGAAGGTGCTGCTCTCTGGATATGTCCATACCAGCGGAGCCAGCCTTTTCTCATCTTCTCTGTAATAGGTGCCACACCAAAATGTGAATGGTGTCATTTCTGATGTGATCAAGAAGGGAGATGCCCGATATCCAATGGAGTATTCGCATTTCCATGGCATGGAGACAGCTTTCAGTCCCTATTGTTGCAGCCCAACATTCAGTGCCATACTGAGTGCAACAGGGAGGATGGTTGTCTTGTAAATCTTAGATTTAAGATGGGTTGGCATTCGTCTGTCACATAACACACCAGTGAGTTCTCGCCAATGCATCCAGGCTGCATTCACCCTTGCTCGCACCTCACCATTGATGTCGCCATTGCCTTGGAGATGGGATCCCAGATACCGAAAAGTATCCACCTTCTTTCGTTTTCTCCATTGATTTGAAGTGTTCCAGGGGTGGTAATAGTCTCTAAGTACTCAGTTTTCTTGATATAGAATACACTGCAGTAGTCTTATTGCACAGTGATGTTTTGGCAATTGTAACATACTAATTTGCCTATTGGGGGGTGGGGTCATTATCATTTTCAGAAACTGCTAGATAAGGCTCTGGACATGAAATTCAAGAATAACTGGAAGAAGCAATGGAAAAAACAAAAATCTGCACCCCTCTGAAAAATTACATCAGTGCCTTTTAGGATAAAAATGGCAACTGGCAATCACACAATTCTAAAGATCTCAACATCAGAGCAAAGAACATTCCTATGTGCCAGTTCAAAGGTTGAAAGATTACTATCGAAAACTACTGAATCCTGAATCAAATGCACAGAACAGTACTTGTGGCTTTTAAGAGGTAGATAATGATTTCTTAGCTTTAAAAAGCAGGTAAATTCTCAAGCTGTGCATAATTATTTAGCTATCTAACTATAATTTAAATCTAATTATGTAGCTATTGAAATCAAGTGTACTTCAATCACTTAAAAAATCAATGTCAAACTTACATCAGCATACTGAATGATAAAATGTCTCCGTTGCCCATCAGAAAACACAGAAAGGACATATTCACCAGGCTTCCCATGGCTCTCTCGCACCAAAAAGTCCCCTTGCTGTTTTAATAGCTCTTGAGCTTCTATTCTTGGAATTGCCCCATGATACCAATCTTGTTCTGCCAGGGGTTTTTCACTCGCTGATATTACATCAAAAAACTTAAAGAAAAATATGAAAATGAATGATTAACATAATGCCAAATTTGAGAATCAAGTTACTATAGTTGTTAAAGGCAGTGGGCTAAAAATGGAAGACTGTGAGTTAGGGTCTAATTCTGCCTTACGGCATGAAATCAGCTGGGTAACTTGCGGCCAGTCACCTTTCGTAGACTATGAAAGTTGACACAACAAACCCAGACAGCAATTAGGCCAATAAACCACATTGTTTATATTCACTGGCTATATGTTAAAGATAATATAGATAGCATGGTGATCTAGTAATTAGGGATAAATAATGAGAAAGCCATCCATTTATTGAAACATTCCAACATCAATGCTGTAGTTTATTCTGTCTGCCTTTGTCTTGTCTTTTCAATGTAGTAGGCCAAAGGTGTATAAGCTGTGGTTCTGCTTTTGCTCAGGGCTGCTCAGGAAGCTGCCAATGCTTTGCTTCAAACCCAGTGCTGTACATTGTTGTTATTTGCATACTTAATAAATGTATGTTATATCTTCAAAGTAATTTGGTTGTTTTAGGTGATCCAGGTTTTGGTTACAACATGAACTAACATTAACATAACCGATCTGAGAACAAACTGTTCCCATTCATATTTTCCTATAATATAATCACATCAAGGTAAATCAAATATTTAACAAGTAAGAGCATATAACAGATAAAGGCTGACATTGGAAAATGATGATGTAACCTATGCCAGCACATTTTAACTGAAAAGCCTGATGAAACCACAGGTTTAATTAATTTAGAAGTGTTAACAGTCAAATAAGGCAGTGGTACAAACATGACAAGCAGATCAATGACTAAGAGAAGCCCCAAATGGACGAATAAATGTGTACAGTATTTATTTTCTGATATCTCATCAACCTTTTTGGTTTCAATCCTGTTGGCCTACCTTTGCATTCTGATACTAGCCATTAGGTTGAAAGCTTGACCCTAGATAACTCTTATGGACTTGGTCCAGGGACAGACATTTTTCTTTCAATTATGATTATGCTTGAAATTTGATTACTTGCTTGATCACAATAAAATCAATTTATATATATATATTTATAATCCAAACTTGTTTATTAAATGCACCTGTACTTTGGGAGTTCAAATGTTTGAATTCTTTAGCGGTGGATTTCATCTACTGCAGACTGTTAGGAAATACCATTCTCAATATAGGAAGTATTATAAACATTAATCAAATAAATCATCCTGCAGCAAATAACAGAAAATTATGCAGAAAATAGTGAAAGCAATTTTTTTCTCAATAAAGACAAAAGAATACATTACCTGCCCACTTACCGATGAAGAGCCTAACATAGACTTTGGTGATCTTATCATACCAGCAATGGAATGCCGAATAGTATCAAACCTGGACACTTTATCTTTTTTATCCTAGAAAATAAAGAGAAGAAATAGTCCAATAGAAAATAAACCAACCATTTTTAGCAGATTAAATAGTCACTGCTAGATAAAGTTTTGGTTTTACCCTAGTTAATCATCAAGCATGAATGAAAATGGTTTTCTAGTCTCAGTTTTTGTCTAAAAACATTAACATTTTTGAATAGATTTGCCAAGAATAGACAATGACTATTAAAAACAATAAAATGCCTTCGTGTAAAAATGTAAAAAAGTAGAACATTACAAATATATTATTTGTAAGTGATGTAGACTGCTAATTTTCTAGATATTGTTGGAATCTACTCACTGCCTGTATTGGCGAAGTTAATTTTGAGTAACTTCTTTCATACCTTACTTTTAGGAGTGTCTTCTTACACTTCAATATATGAGTGTTCCTGCTTAAATAGTGGAAATGGTATATCATCCACACAAAAGATTACAAAACCAACCCAAAACAATGCAATCGATTGTTATTCTTGACATCATCTCTTAATAATGACCCAATGACTACATTACCATAGATACAGAGTCTAATTTTGCTTCTAGGTCTTCCAGGCATTGGACTGATCAGCATATTTCGTGCACCTTATAATGGTAAGACAAAGGGCCTTTTTTCATATAAATGAATTATAAGAATAATTAGCAACTAAATGACTCATTCTCACATAACCAAAGGGGGAAAGATTATTTTCCCCAAACTACTTTAAATAATGCATTAATATTACATTCACCAAGTTTCTATTTCTTAACTGTTGTCTGTAGAACAGATGACTGAAATAATATCCTTAACCCTTATATTTAGCCTGGCTTCCTTTAGGTATATATATTTACTGCCTTTTAAGATATTACCTAGTTAAGTATTTTTAAAAACTAGAAAGCAGAAATGTTGACAAGCGACAATTTGCTAATTTTAAAATGGACAGCAACAGCGGCTGTCAAAACTACTAACAAATGCATGAAACAGATTGCTTTGATGTGTGAGCAAACATATCAGTTAGAACAAGTTAGATATAGGACAATATATCTCCATTTTCTGACCTAAAAATTGTCTAGAAGAAGGGAGACTATTTATATTCTTATAACAATTATTATCTGCTTTTGAATATCTTCACATCAATAATTTGATATTTATACACATGTACTTTATGCAATATATTAATAGTTGAGTCATATGAAATATCGTATTTTTCAGAGCATAAGACGCATTGTCCCCCCCCCCCAAAAAAGTGGATGAAAATGTCTGTGTATCTTATACAGTGAATATCGCGGTGGGGGGAAGGGGGGTTGGTGCAGCGCTGTTCTAGAATGGGCCGCGGTGATGAACGGGCTGCGGTGGTGAATGGGCCATGGCAGTGAGAATGGGGTGTGGCGAATGGGCTACAGAGGCAACGTGAACGGGACGTGAATGGGCCATGCCGACAGTGAACAGGTTGCGATGGCAAATGGGCCATGGCGGTAGCAAATGGGCAGCAGCAAACAGGCCACGGCGGTGAACTGGCTGCGGCGGGGAATGGGCCAGATGAATACCGGATGGATGCTGGGAGGCAGAGGCAGACTTTTTTTTCTTGTTTTCCTTCCCAAAAGCTAGGTGAGTCTTAGTCCAAAAAATATGGTAATTCACTTTAATGTAATAATAAAGACAAAGGTGAACAAGTAATTGGCCTAGGATAGCAGAGTAAAGACAGCTTTACGTAAAGTCTTATAATAAAAGCCTTGCAGGCATCAGAACAGACAGTAAAATGTAAATCAAACAGGGCAGATAGAATCTGACATTTTTCAAAAGCACATCCTTTAGGCGTTTATAAAATTCTGCTCAAGGCATAAATGTAAGGAAATTGTCAGAGAAAAAATACAAAGACAAGTATCTTGGTAATACCATTGGTAATTGCCAACAGTAATTGGTAATGGCAATTGTTATGATTCCTTGAAAAAAATTGCTTCACCTTTCTAAAAATTATAAATGCCCATGTCTATAGACTCTTTTTTCATTGTGTTCTTATTAAGAGAGTCAGGAATACTTAAAACTGATTCAGACAAGCAGTATATAAAAAAGAAGGAATGAAAAATATAGTGTGCTGTCCAAACCAATACATTAACTTAGCAACCAAAAGTTTACACTTTATGAGGAAACTAGTTTGGAATATGTGCATAAATCTATGCAATCTTCCTAAATATCCAAGATGAGGAATGAACCAGAATTCAGTTTCCTTTTAATAAATACTAGACTGTTACTTGTAAACCAGGAATTGCAGCTTAATGAGTTTTGGAAGTGATCAGTCTAGTACACAAATTGGTAAGGTAGAGCAGGGTTCCAAACCCCCAGGGCATGGGCCACTACCAGGCTGCGGCATATTCACAACTGGGCTGCACAAGCAGTGGGCCAGCGCGCAATTACAGCTTGACTCACATAAGCAGAGGGCCGGTGTGCACACGTGCAACTCGACTTTCGCAAGTGGCGGGCTCGCACGCACACATATGCACTGGCTCACAGGGCCTAGTTCCCCTCTGCCCTCCAGTTGGGCCACCAAGCCACAAAGGTTGGGGACCATTGAGGTAGAGGATATGCAGCTGTCCTTGAAGGTATTCAGTATTTGTTAAGTAAGCCCTGAAAGGCAGGATGAAGTCAGAAAGAAATGCCAGATTGCTCTGTCTTGATTCATTTTAGTGTAAAGGTAAACGGTCTATGTCAGTCCTTCAAAACTCTGTTGATACACCCTGAAGTAATAGAATTCCAATAATCCTTGTAACATCTATTTCCTATTCTGTCTTCTTCGAAGGGCTGACAAGAACTTTTATTCCAGCAGTACAGAAGATGAAGGAAATGGTTGAATTCCAAAGTTTTGTACAGCCACAATCCTGTTTATGTACATACTTCAATATTATGTCTTATTAAGTAGCTTGTGACTAAAAATTTCTAGCTCATTGAAGATTTAAAATAAAGACAATTTGTATAAAGAAGTCAGACTAGGTTAGCAGATATGAATCACAACATTCTCTCTTGACTTTTAACATTGCATTTGTTCATATATTTTTCCTCATAAGAGAGGAACAAGTTAGGAAACATCATAATAATTTACTTCCTAGCACCAACTCAGTTTCCTTCTCAGATTAAGTGTTGAAAGGACATCAATTTCTGTGTGTTTTGTGGGGAGGGGGAGAAAACTACTAACTGGTATAAACCAGAAATTTATTGAATAGTTCTTTGGATATATGGGCAATGGATTAAGTGAAGGAGGAAAACAGATTTAAAGAGGTTCTATGTGGAGTAGAAGTAGTTGTAAACCAAATGTTATTTAAATTAGTTCTTTAACTTGGGGTATTCTATATCAATCTTAGTAGCTTACTTGGATTATGAAGTTCCCTTCCTCTTGTGAAGAGAAAAGAGGAGAGTTGTTAAAGGAATCATTGGCTGTCAAGGCAGGAGATTGCAAGAAAAAGGATCTAAACTTCAAAGGAAGTTTTGTGCTTCTCAAGTAATCTCAGAATTCCTAAAATAGGGAGATTAATTTCCATCCCTCAAACCCCTCTTGTGCCATCTCTAAAAAATAATTGTCTTTTACTCTAAACTACCTATTTCATACCAATAGTATGAGAAAGCAGAATAGTGTTTCAGAAAGTTTCCAGATGGCACTCATTCTCAGACTCGACTGAGTCACACAAAATATTCAGAATGCTGAGAAGATAATGTTCCTAAAAGCCAACTGTTAGCTATTAAAAACAGCAGCTTTGACAGAATATGTTTGCCAAATATGCAAAAATTCTAATACCCAATAAAAAAAGGCCTTGATATTGATTTATAATAATGCATCATAATGCAATAAAAAGTTTTCAGCTTACATTGTAAAATCGGACAGTCAAATAGTTGTATTTGTGGACAGAGAAAATAGTAATTAAGTTGTTACAATTGATAGTTGAACTTGGAATGTTCAACCCTAACACTCCAAGTTCCACCCAAACAGAATACTATAAACTAAAGGAAAGTCTATTCATTTTATGTAAACATCCTGCCTACCTTTTAGGGTTTTTTTTCTTTTTCAACATATATAGATACTTTTGTGAACTTATTGTTTTGCAGTGCCTTATTTTTTAAAAAGTGTTTAAAACTTGGTCAAAGAACTGATCAGAGAAAAAGTAAATATATGATTATTATAAATTACAAATTAACTCTAAATTTTATATATACATTATAAAATGCTGAACAAAATTTAGCATTTTGTTTAATATTTCTTAAAATATTTTTCCCATTAATTAATAAGTTAAGAACACTTAGACATTTTGAAATACTGCTACACAGGTACTCTTCATAAATCCTATTCACATAAAATAATTAAACTATTCCAAGATAAGCAAAACAAAAGTATATAAAATGAAATTATGATAAGGCCTAAAAGAATTCAAATCTAAGCAATTCCTTTTTTGTACATGTGCATGTATCAGAAACTGAATTTAATCCATCACTTTATTTTATAATCTTTATCTTCTTATGTAAAATATACTTAAATCATAGATTTCACCAATATTATTCCAGAAATCAAAATGACCAAGTAGAGGAAACGGGAAGCCAGTTTATTTACTGAAGGAAATGGAGTCCTTCTTTCCTGTATCACATTTGCACAGACATTATGGAAGAAACTGATAGCTTAATCTCAAAAAAACTGTATCTCTACAAAGGTAGTAACTCATTATAATTCTGGACATGCCACATAAACTGCATCATTTAAGTTTAAATTGAGTAGTAGAGCTTTTGAACTAGAGGTACTTTTGAAATGTTGTATGTTGTCAGTGCTGTAACAAAATAGCTCCATGAAATACCTGTACATTCACAAAATTACTGCTATAATGGCACAAAACCTCAATCTGAAATAAAATGGATAAGATTGCACAATACCACCTCTTCTACAATTTTAGCTCATCTTTGCCTCCCACACTCCCCTTGACTGGGTTGATCTGATCTTATTTTCTAAGGATGTCCAAGGATTCTATGAGATTCAGAG